CTCATACACATTTTTCCACATTAGACACATGTGACATGGTTCAGCTAAGTTGGTATCCCGACGTCATGTCTTTTAGTGACATGGTTAGGCTGACGCAACTAATATATCATTATTTAGCTAACGTTGAAATATTAGTTACCCGGATATGCTTATTTGACTATGCAGACATGACCATGCACATTTGACTGTGGTGAGCATGCTTTGTTTAGGTTGGCCCACTATAGTAATAATAGGTAGACCTATATCAACTGCGACATGTGTCATATGGAGATATTTCATAAGCAAAAGCATAAAAATAACAAACTATACTAATAAAAGTTAAGGATGTGGATATATTTAAAAATTTGGCCAATTTCGTGTTATATGAGATCCTTTTTTTATGATACTAATACTCTGCGAGAATTCGAAATAGCACCCCTCGTCAAAATAATCATGAACATGTCTCCAGTTCTTGAATCAAAAACACACAAAATTTTGTGGTTATATCTCTCAACCCACCATTCATTTGTTGCACAGCTCATGCACCTTAGATTATTGGCAGAATCGAAGGGGTTTCGACTGGATGATACAGGGTTGTTTCTGGCTGCTACTCAGAGTTCCCGAGGGAAGCGGGTATGGTTGCTTGTTTACCATCAACTGGTCGGCATCTGTATATATTTTCTCAGATTCTGTTAACCCATTACCCATGCATGCCTGTTTTATATATGCAGGGGGGGATGAAAGGAGCAAGCTTGAAGTTCGAGACGGAAAAAGAAGTATTTGATTTCCTTGGGTTTCCCTGGCTTGAACCTCACGAGAGGAACTTGTGAGGTTCAATATGTGAGAAAGAACCATTAACATGGGAAAAGCTCTGTCTAACTAATCAGACTAGTCGCTTGCTGGCCCCTTAAGGTAGATGTACATGTACTTGTCAAAACTCTCTGAGTCAATGATGAGATCATTTTCGTCACCCCTTCGCTTTAATATTAAAATAGATCTGATTTCAAAAATATCTATATGATGGGTCCTTCGGGACCGGGTAGTAAGAATCTAGAGAGAGAAAGTATAAACTTGAGTAATAATTATGGCAGAGTAACGGTATGTTATAAATCAAATTGCGGATCTCTTTACACAAGCTGGAAGGTGATTTCTTATAGTGTAAATTATCTTATGCTTGATGAACAAGTAAAATAGCTAGTCTGATAAAAGTAAGCCTCGTGTATAGGCTGATTGGTGAGAGAATCGTTGATTGATTGCGTGTGTAAGGATGACTGCTCTTTCGTAAGGGAATATCTGGATGGCCACACCGGACAACTGGTTTGATGACGTCAGTCAGAGTTAATTAGTTATTCCCTGATACGTTATCGTTGATCTGTCTGAAGTGTTTATGTCGAAAATGTCCAAGTACAGACATGTGTGTAGTGTGCCAAGCTCGGCTCTACTTGTCCTAGAGAGCGGGGTGCTCAGCTCAAATGTAACGATGTTCAGCTCAGGGATGATGAAGCTCAGCTCAGGTAAAGCCTAGCTCAAGCATGATAAAGCTCGGCTCAGGTATAAAAAAGCTCAACTCAGGTAAAGCTCAGCTAAGGTCTAACGAGCTCGCCATCAGACGCAGTTTTGGAGTTGCCTTGCTCATCCGGGAACTCGGTTGCGAGCTTGGTCTCGGGTGCAGTTTTGGAACTCTTTAGTCAATTTGAGAGCCGGACTCGACCTCGGCCTTGGCTTTGGTTGCGAGCTTGGCCTCAGATGCAGTTCTTGATTCTTTCATACCTCACCTTCGACTTGACTGGTGTGCTTGGCCTCGGTCGGTTGATGTTGCCTTAGTCAATTACGAAGTTTCTTTCATGTATTGTTGTGACTCTTGGGTGTATGGGAATATACTCCATCAAAAACATATACCCTAAATTTGCCAGCCGGTGAGTGGCCGGAGGCCGATGACAGTGGGCCGGTGATGGTGGCTGGAGGCTGGCGGTAGTGGCTGCAGGGCTGGGGAAGGTGGCTGGGAGCTGGGACTTGGGTAGGGGTACATTTGTCCGAACACTAAAATTACTATTGAAAACATGGTAGTATGGTACTGGTATTTTGCATTTTGCCTATGTTTTGCTTCTATTTGGGGAATTCACTCTTTAGAATTTTGACATGTTTTTTATTTGGGGAATTCACTCTTTAGAATTTTGATATGTTTTTTATTTGGGGAAAAGTTAGAACACTTCTTTTTACCAGGAAAAGTTAGAACACTTAAGAAAAGACATTCCCCCCATGTCTGGCAGGTAAGACATGTCCCCAATGCAATGAATCAACATTAGCAGTCCAAATGTCCATTTAAGACACTTTGGATTCCTAATTCCTTTACCACTCACTATAAGTGGTCGAATTACTATTTGTATTGGTAATGCTTGAATTTATAGCAAAAATAGCAAGCAATATATATTGATGTATATGTACGTCCACTTAATAGTACTTGTACAAAACATAGATCAGTAGGCGCGCACACACAAACATATATATATATATATATATATATATATATATATATTGAACACGTTAGACATCTAAATCTATCATACGTAGTATTTTTGTATACTCAGCTGTTGGCGGGATCGCATGCGGCATGCATATGAAGCAGCTAGCTTATTGAATTAGCTGCACTTGGTTAAACGCACATATGTACTATTTATACAATTAATGAATGCAGGGCGGGGATGATGGATGGATGGATCATTTGTTGTTAGAAAGTATAGTGGAGGAGGCGAGGCGGGGCGTGGCAAGAACAATCAAGGGGTGAGCCATAGGCATAGTCATTCCATAAACCTCTGTTGTTTCGATATCTTTTCCATGCAGTGGGCTCCAATTGAAGCAGTGGAATAGCCTGGCTAGAGCCATGAGGACCAGCGTCACACCTAGGGGTGCACCCGGGCACCTCCTCTTCCCCGCGCTGAATGGCAGGATCTTGAAGTCTGCCCCGTGGCTTATCTCCACTCTCCCCACCGCCTCCGCCAGATGCCTCTCTGGCCTAAACTCATCCACGTCGCCGCCCCACACTGCAGGGTTTCGCCCCAGGCCGTGAGTGTTGATGAAGACGCGCGTCCCGGCGGGGATGTGGTATCCATTGATGGTGGTGGCGCGCGTCGACTCGTGAGGGATCAGAAAGGGGCCGGCCGGGTGGGTCCGGAATGTCTCTCGCACCACAGAACGCAGGTAAGGCAGGTGGGGCAGGTCGCTCTCTGACACCATTCGGTCCTGACCCACCACGCTGTCCAGCTCCTCTTGAATCTTCTTCAGGATGCGCGGCCGCTTTATCACCTCTGCCATTGCCCATTCGTTCGTGACTGCTGATGTGTCCGTCGCTGCAGCTATCATATCCTACAACAAATTCAACGTGCACCCACCCATTAATAATGTATGTGTATGCAAGTGTTTTGATTACTTAATTACTTCAATACATGCAGTGGATGGGTGTTAATTAATTAAATTACTTACTTGAATCAGAGCTTTAATTTGGACGTCGTCCATGTGGGGTTTCCCGTTTTGACCAGGCAAGGACAGCAAAACATCAACAAAATCCATGGGATCAACTCTCTTGTTCTTTTTGTGCTCTTGTAGGATTTTGATGTGGAATGCATCGATCCTGCCCTCAAGCTCCCGCATTTTCTTTTCGCACCCGTACGGGTCAATCCATCTCCACACTGGGAGATAGTCTCCCAGGTAGATCACGCCCAACAGATGGAAGAGCTGATGAGTGAGGGACATGAACTCCATCGCTTCACCCCCACTGCAGCTTGCTGACTGCTGCTGCTCGCCAAAGAACTGCTTTCCCAGCAGCATCCTCGTCACATTGTTCATAGAGAAAGCCCCCAGCACCTCCCTCAGATTCACCGTGCCACCCTGGGTCGCCGTCATTCTCCACACCTGCTGCACCAGGTGGCGCGCTTCCTCGGCACGGTGCACCGCGAAGGACTCCAGCCGCTTTGTCGTCAGCAAGTGCTCCATGCAAACCCGCCGCATCCACTTCCAGTCGGGGCCCAGGGGGGCAAGCGCGATATCGCCACATCCGTAAGCCAAATGGACGGCTGCCAGCGTTCTCGGCCGGGACGCGAACACCTCATCTTGTTGCACCAGTATTTCGCGTATGGTGTCGGGATCATTGGTTGTGATCGCGTCCACACACCCCAGCCGTAGGTACACCAACGGCCCGTACTTGTCGCAAAAGGAAGCCAAGTCGCGGTGAGGCAGTCGTCCCAGCTGAAGAAGGTTACCGACTATGGGCCACCTTCGTGGCCCCGGAGGAAGCCGCTTTGCATTATTGCTTTGTACTACCAACACCTCCACAACCAGTTTGCATACTAGCAGCAGGGGTAATACAGACGAGAACAACAGCAATAATATTGACGATGATGATGATGATGACTCTAACGTCATAAAATCAATCATTTCTGCTTAATTCATAAGTAATATATTTGCTGCTTTATGCATGGCCGCGCTGGTCATTGATGGATGGATATGATATGATATTAGTTGGGCTGTTATATACGTGCGCAATGCAGATTGCAGATTGTTGGAATGTCAAGCAGCATGCATGATGGATGGAGCGCTTTATTAGTTAGCTAGCTACTAGCTAGGTTGGGTCATACTTTAATTATTGTGCATGCATCTTGGACTATCCAATTAATTATCTACCATTTGCTTTGTGTGATTAACCTCAACTCTAACACTAAACCTTAATATCTCGTCTGCACTTTTAGAGCAATGCTAAATTGTGGATCGGATGCTCATCTTAGGATTCTAATACAGCAAGGCTGCAAGGGTGTGGATTTTTTCCTACAGCAGAGCCAGTGACACTTACCACTGAAATTAGCAACAAAAACGGTGGGAATAAGTATTTCATATTATCGGTTCCCATACTATGACTTCATTTTTAAAATTAGGAATATGTGTTACGTAGTGCAAAAAATTGTCATCTTTTAATGTAATTTAAGAATATACGGAGTACAATTGTACAAAACTATGCAAATATGCAATGATTAAACAAAAGGTAGGGAGTAAAATATATTCAAATACGAAACTCAAACAAAGAGCACTCGACTCTACTCATTAGTCATTTCATCTTACTTCCAAAATATTTTTGAAGAAGCTTCATAACACAATATCAAATTTCTACAGGAGCTTAAATGAGTTTCAAACGTGCAACAATAAATTTAGTACTAATGTACCCATGTAAAAACATTAAACGTCTGTTTGTCTCTGTTGATGTTTTCAACACAATCAAGGGCGGGGTCAGACACCAACTTGCACCCGTTCAAATTCAATCAAGGATAAATTATTATCTTTCTGCACAGAAAAACTTGCAGCATCAGTCACTTCAGCACGGCCATAGCGATCCACCATGAGCCTCATAGATCCCTTGTACATGTCAACTCTTGCATTCGTGAGCACCACGGTTGTACCCTCTTGCATCAAGTCCACTACAACAAGGACAAAAGTGTAAAACCATCGCTTAACAATGACATATTGCACAAAACAGATCCCATGGAAGCATAGGAGTAACAAAATCAATTATCTGAAAACAATAATATTATATGGGCATACAGGAAAAAAAACATGTGGCACAACAATATGATAACAAGCCCCAACCATATCCACATTGTGTGTTCTCTTTTCTTCTTACTTCTGTAATATGTTTGGATCACGGAAAACGTGGGAAAAGAGAAAATGCTAGGAAAAGATGTTTTCTTGTGTTTTTTTACCTTGGAAAACACAAACCGGGAAAAGAAAAGCATGACTATTGTTTACATATATTTTAACTTCTACGAAGGGGAGCCTTGACACGTTTACAGTGTTGTTGTGTGACAGTGGTCACAAGTTCAAGTTTTGGGAGCGTCCTCTTATCAAAACTTAGCAAGGAATGCTTGCCTCTTATACACCCTCGCCTTTCGAGGAGATCTTTGTGCACCGGGCTGCCTTGTTTATATTTGAATTTCTTACTTTGAAGAGTGTGAAGTGGAGGGAAAGTATACAGGTGGAGGATTGATTTGATTTAGTTTGTCTCCCTTTATCTCTACTTATTATTATATTAGGAAAAATTGACAAGAATAATCCCACCTTTCACCGGTCTTCTCATAATAATTCCACCTTTACGTAATCCAAGAATAATCTCACCTTTGCACTTCATCTTCTTTCATTGGACCCTGACCTATTGATGACCTACAAAGGTGGGATTATTTATATAAGATTTACAAATGAAGGGTCCAGTGAAAGAAGATGGGGTGCAAAGGTGGAATTATTGTGGAGGTGGGATTAAGTAAAGGTGAGATTATTATGAGAAGACCAGTGAAAAGTGAGATTATTCTTATCAATTTTTCCTTATTATTATTATTATTATTTTTAACTCCGCTGTCATATGTAAATTCATGTTAGCTGATTGCTCCAAACTTTGTTGGGATTAAGGCTTGGATGTTGTTGTATATTTGGATTTCTTAGTCTTCATATAATAGACATAGAGAAATGCTAGAGGTACCCCATTTTGTACCTCATCCTATATTTGTGGCTCACAAAAATCCAACCCAATTAAAATAATTGCTCCATTTTTACTCATTGCTTTTGTGAACCACAAACATAGGAGGGGTACAAAATGGGGTACAAACTGGGGTGGCTTTAGCATTAGTGATAGACATAAACAAATAGAACTATACTACCTCCATACCAGGTTAAGGTTCTCATCCACTATTTTGCGGTCAACTTAAATTGCTCTTAATCTTTTACTTTATACATCCAATTTTTATTAAATGTGAGTTTTTTGTGACTATAAAATTTTTAATATAGTTTCTGAATGTAAATTTTATTTGCTAAAATGATTTTAATATTGTCAAGGACCAATTAACTTTATTTAGTGAAACATCGTAACCTGAACAGGAACCCTTACCCGGGACGGAGGGAGTAGTAAATAGTTATCTAAAACAAGTTTATTGACTTTTCTCTTCTATTTCCCCTGACATTTTCTTTTTTCAAATTTAATGCAATAACTTCCTGTTTCTTTCCCTAGTATTTTCCAGGTTCCAAAAGTACCCTTGTGTAATGAGATACGTCTTGTGCAGCACAAACCTGTGAAATATGTGAATTTGTTATTTTACAAGTGAACCACATATGCAGGATGGAGCTGCAAAAAGAAGTCACTTGGAGGAAGGCAATGGATGATGAAATTGTCATGATAGAGAAAAATAGAACGTGGCACTTGATGGATCTTTCAGGAGGCAAAGTGGTAAATCAGGTGATTGGTTTAAAATGGGAATACAAGACAAAGCACAATGAAGATGGAACTATTCAAAAGCTCAAAGCAAGACAAGTTGCCAACAGCTTCACACAACAACTTGGAGTTGGTTTTAATGAGAAGTTTGCCCCAGTTGCTTGCATTTAGATTGGTGTTGGCTTTAGCAGCTAGAGTTACAAATATTTCAGCTTGATGTGGAATGAGCTTTTCTTAACAGAGAGCTAGAAGAAGAAGTATATGTGAAGCAACCACAAGAATATGAAGTAAAAGGAAAAGAAGAGAAGATGTACACACTACATGCTTCATTAATCTCTTTATGGTCTAAAAGCCTAAATTCCCTAAAATAATCTCCAAGAGCACCGAACAATAAGATCAATAGCTATTTTCGGCAATATGACTTCACAAGAAGCCCAGGTAAGCCCTCACTCTTTGTGAAGCAAATGGGACTTACGAAGTATTTTTTGAGCAGAGCCATCCATTAGGCTATATACCTACACAAGTGTCTAGAGCCTCCAAATTATAGGAGCTCCAAATTTTAAAATAAGCCCATTTATATTATATAGGTATATTAAATTCAAATCGTAATTAGAATCAATGTTTTCCTACACGGTAAATTTCAATTCCTAAATTAGTAAATCATGAAATCAATTGATGAATCCATAAAAGGCTGAGACCACACGGCCAGGTTACTAGTCTACCAGGCTTGTAGGCTTCTTCTTCAATCTTCAAGACTTCAGCGTAGACCCAGGCGTAGAATGAGAGCAAGTGATTTCAAGCCTTCTGTCTTCAATGAAGGCATGCAGGCTAACAGACAAGTAGGGCAGCAGGGGACTTGCCAACTTTAGCCTTCAGGTAATCAGGTCTTCTGTCTTCTTTGGGGTATTGATTTATTCATTTAGGTGTGTAAAAAGTAAACTATATATAATGTTGTAGCGTTTTTACTTTTTAGTAATGTGTTTTTTCAACCAAGAATTATTGTTATCTTTTTCATGTGTTTTATATTTAGGCACATTGACTTTAAGGTGCCTTTTTTTATTTAATTCTATTCTATTTCAGTTTTTCAGTCTAGTAGGGTTCTAATCTTTTTGCCTAGCTTATGTGCTGTGAACTCATGATATTCTCTTATACGTGGGCACGTGGCTGAGTAATTGTTCTAGGCAGGATCAGAGTTTGCTGAAATGTTTTAATTTGAGAATGTTTTTGCTTATATCAACTCTGTAATAGCCAAAAAAACAAGTGATTATAGTAATTACTTTTCTTTTATGAATGTCTTAAAAGTTTGAAAAAATATTTAGTTGGAACGGTAGTGATGTTCATACTAATTTTTCTCTTCAAAAAACAGGAAGCGTAGGTTATTAGTTTAAGATATTTGCATTTAAAGAATTGTTTTCTTCAGTCATAATATATGGTGCATTTTGTATGTAGTTTGTTTCAATTTATTTGATGTCGTATTTTTTTAATGTGCTTTGTTAAACAAACACATTTAAATGATATGTCAAAATAAAATTGCCTCAACATTGGTGTAGACGGCACTTTTCTGGGAATTCAAGTCAAGCAAACCTAAAGAGAAAGATGATGAAAAGGTTCCACATGAAGGACTGCAAACTAGCTGTTATACCTATGGCAGTAAATGAGAAGCTGAAGCAAGAAGATGGTGCAACTAAAGTTTGATGAAAGCATGTAGTGAAGTCTTGTTGCCTCGCTACTGTACCTGACTAATACAAGGCCAGACTTAACCCAAGCGGTAAGTATGGTGTCTAGGTTCTTGAACAATCCTAGTAAGCATCATTTTGGAGAAGCAAAATGAGTACTTAGATATCTCCAAGGCACCCAGTCACATGGTATCAAGTATGCTAAGGAGGAGGATCATTCGCTAGTAGGCTAAAGGTTATTAAAATCGCAAGTTAAATCGTAAAATCGTGCATCCAACTTCCTATAACCTATTTGAATCGTAGCAAAAATCGGAAACAATAAAAATTGTATAAAATCATATTTAAATAGGATAAAATCGTTCAAAATCTCGATATTATCAGACTCTATGATTTTAAGAATTTGTGTTTAGCTCAAACCAAACACAGCCCATATCACTCAGGCCGCTGACTCAGGCCTAGTAACTAAGTATTTACCAGCCTCCTACTCTGAATACACACACGGGTTATATACTGGATGGGGAGGGGATATTGGTTTAGGTTTTCTGGTGTGGGATAGTTGCAAATCAGAGAAGAAACAATATTTTGCTTTAGAAAAACATACTCATATTTTCAGACTAATGCTTAAATACTCATTACCTTCATATATTTATTGGGAAATTTCTTTGTAACATTGTATTTTATTTGTTGAATGACTTTTATTATTTGATTACATAATTTTATTTTGTTGCTATTTATTTTGTGCACTTTAATGAACACATCATTGTTAGGCTTAAAACATATACGACATAATGGTTTAAATTAAAGACTTAAACTTGTAAGTCTCCTTTTAAATTATTTATATTAAATTGTAAGTTTCCTTTTATATAATATTTTTATAATTTTAATTTAATTATTTATTAGAATCTTACGATTTACGATTCTGCTTTTCCATTCGATTGTTAAATACTCATTCCGATTCGATCTAAAAATACGATTTTAACAACCTTGAGTAGGCTATACTGATAGTGACTAGGCAGGTACACTGGATGATAAAAAAGAGCAATTCAGTCTATGTTTTCTGCTTAGATTCAAAGTCCGTTTCATGGAGTTCAAGAAAGCAACAAACTGTAGCACTTTCATCTACAGAATAAGCTTGTGAAGCAGTTTGGTTGAAAATGCTGGCAGATTTGATTCAAGGGAATAATGGTTCTATAACTATTTTTTGTGATATTATGTAAGCTATAGCCCTTGCGAAGAATCTCGTACTTCATGCAAATACAAAGCACATTGATATCTGCTACCATTTTATTCATGACTTGGTCAAGAAAGGAATGATTCAATTGCAATTTATAAACACAAATGACCAGCCAGCAGACATGCATACTAAGCCCATTTCAACAGACAAGTTTGAGAAGATTGAGGGGCAGCTGAACATTACAAATTAAAGGGGAGTTGAGATATAATTTGAAACTTCAGCAAGTAGCATGTTTGGAAAATGCTAGGAGTTCAAGAATATTCTAAGGATTCAAAGAGTCTAGTTGTATTTAATTTAATTTAATATAATATATCCTGAATTTATCAAGTGTTTTTTACCCTTCTGGTTCCAAGAAGAATCTCTAGATTTTTATAGGGAAAACTGTCCAATAAGTCCATCTACTTTCACCAAAAAGTCAATTAAGGTCATGCACTTTGAAATGAACCAATCAAGTTCACAAACTGTTAAAAATTGGTCAAATTGGCTATTTAGTCAGTAACCAACCGGTAACTCTTTTCACACTTACGTGGAAGTCTAATTGACTCTTTTACTGTTCATATTTTTTATTTTTTATTTTCTTTCCTTTTTCTTTTTCATGCTCTCTTTCTTCTTCACTCGTTCATTTTCTTCTCCTGCTTCAACACAAACTACTCCTGCAATTCGATTCTTCCCGAATCCAGACTCTCTTTCTTTTTGAAAGGCAGTGGGCGGCGGAGGTTGACAAAGATGAGGGAGACGGCCGGAAGATGATGACAGTTGGGGATGATGTGGGAGACGGACGGCGGTTGGAGACTGTTGGCGGGTTGAGGAAGATGAGGGCGATGGCCGTTCAAGTGAGCTATAACCTGCATTACCTCCATTCAACTGGCTAAATAGCTAATTTGGTCATTTTTTAACCGTTTGTGGACTTGATTGATTCATTTTAAAGTTTGTGGACTCAAATGACTTTTTGGTAAAAGTAGATGGACTTATTTGACAGTTTTTCCATTTTTATATGAACCCTATAAAAGGGAAGGCAGTCAAATGTTTGAGGTAAGCTTATGATTAATAACTTTTCAGTAGAAATAGAGAGAGCAGCAGCTCAATTCATAACCTCTTTCTAGACATTCATCTTGTCTACCTGAATCTCCCACAACCTCTATGATCAGATTTTAAGTATTATATTATTAAATCATACAAACATAGTTGATAGTTTAAACTTTAAACACTCTTACTTTTTTAGATACAATGTCATCATATTCACCATTTGAGCCAAGATTATATTTACCAAACAGGCACTATATATAATGCCCCTTTGACTTTGGAAAGGCTGCAGGCTAAAAAGGATTTCTGTAGGCTAATGAATTGTCTGAGAGTATATGCTGATTGCACTCAAGATTGGACTGAGGCTAAAAAGGATTTCTGTAGCATATACTTATTCAGATTGGACTAGACAAAGCCAGACAATAAACATCAAGAGAATGGGACTTGCAGTGTAAAAGTACAAAGCACTATAAAACTGCTCTGCATACACCTGACCTCAATCAATTATGGTAAGCAAAGAATTTAGATGCAATTCAAATTATGACGAACCTTGATCATTTCTAGCAAGGAAGACAACCATTCCAGTCTCATCTCCCACCAAACACTCAGCAACACGACTCTGCGTCCTGCCTCTCTGGGAAATCAGCTTTGAACTCACAACCTTCACAGTTAAGTTCAGCCCAGTTTTCGAGGGGAGAAGCTGTTCGACCTTGGTAAAACTAGCCTGCTTCTTTTGTTCAGCCATTTTTTTCTACTTGTAAAAAAATCAAAGAAATAAAATACACACTACACAAATTATAAAAAAAAGTTATAAGCTTTAACACACAAAGAGTTAGTGCCTATCGGCAAATATAGCTTGATTTTATAATTATCACAATATTATTTCAAAACCCGTGAAGATTTGAAGGAGAACGTGGTAGATTCAAGTTCCTCAGTCTTTCCAGAATAAAATATTTGCAATATTCTGCTTGGAATCCGATCTCTTTTTTCAGAGGATCGAGAATTCCAAAAGATAAAAATAGAATCAAGATCCAGTATTTCTTTTACGATTTACAATCCAGCAAAGCGAGGCAATTGATATCAGCGACGTAGACGGTATTTCAAGCGAACTTCGAGAGTCAGAAGATTAATTTAATATTGTTCCGAAAGGAAACAACAAAAAGGAGGGGAAAAAATTACCGAAAATGATTCGGTGTTGAGAAATATGCGAAAGGAAGATGACGGAGACTAGATCGTGGAGTCAGGAATCAGGAATAGCAATCGGAGCAAATAAGTTCAGACTAGTTCCAGATTCTTATTGAATTGGACTTTTTCTTAGGGATTTTTTCATAACAAGACTAAACGGTGAAAATAATTTCACTTTTTTTCAACTTTGCCTTCTTTTTCAAACATAGACTTATTAAGTTTTGTATTTCAATAATAGACATCAATGACGGAGTAACGGAGAGTACTACATCGTAAGTCTGCAAGTACGATAGTAGATTAGGATACTCTACACTAAACTCCACAATTGTAGCATAAAGTTTTAAAATTGGGATTTTTCACTAATAAGTTTAAAACTGCAAATTTATCAAACAAAAAAAATTCATTTAAAGTCGAAAAAAATGATACCTATAAAAAATATTAAAAATCAAAAAATTAAATTAAACGAGAAACTCTCAAAGTAAAAAATATTTATAAATGAAAAATTAGAAAATAATGTAAATTTCAACAAAAAGGAATTTCATTTTTAAATATATTATAAAAATGCAAAAAATGTATATAAAAATTAGAAATGTAAAATCCAACATACAAATATAAAAACTTTAAAATAGTTAAATGTGGATATTTTTTTTAAAAAATCACAAAATAAGAGTTTGTAATGATTGTTTAATTAGTTAAATTAATTTATATAAACTATCAAAAATATTTAATGTTTTGAAAATTAAAATTTAAAAAATGAAAGATTACTCAAAACGCAAAACAAGATCAAAATATTTTGAAATTATTAAAAAAAGAGAATTAATAAAAAATACTGGTATGAAATAGTGATTTTTTTTAAAAAAAAATGAAATATAAAGAAAAAAAAGGTAACTAAAAAAATCAACTTATAAAATTTGAATACATTCATGAAATTCAAATTTAATCTAATATAATAAAACAAAAGAAGAAAATATGATTCATGATTTTTATAAAACCAGAAAAGAAATGCAATCTAAAAGGTGTGTAAAATATCGTAAAATAAAAAAACAAATTTAAAATTAAAATAAAGAACATGTAAAAAACTTTAAAATTGAAAATTGGATTTTTAATTTAGTTTTTAAAAAATAGTTAATATTTGTAAATATTACCATTATCATTTATTGCTTATTTTTGTACTTTTGTGGCATATGGTTTCTTTGTGTTTCTTTTTGTTGATAACTTTAATTTTTTTTATTGTTTCTTTGTGTTTTTTGTTGTTTTTTTATATTCATACGTACAAATTTATCATTTTAAATGTTTAAATGTGTGTGTATTTACAATGTACGCTTTATTATTATTAATAAGAGGATCAAATACATAAAAGTGAGTGGGACTAAAGCCTTGCCTCACAAAAACGTTAGTGGAGATAAAGTTTAGAAGTAAATTACATACGGAATACTGAGTTTCTCTAATGTGATTTCATCACTTTTAATATCTCTGGTGAGGTCATAATAGGAGTAGAAAGTCATCCCTGATCGTCCTGTGGCCGATAAAGTGGCTAAGAGTCCAGCCTTGGATTCGGCTACTTTGTGGCCGATAAAGTGGCTAAGAGTCCAGCCTTGGATTCGGCTACTTTGTGGATTACATTAACCTTTGCAATGCTTCGCAACCAACTCCTATCATTCACGAGGCTGAAATTATTAGAGCACAAGAAATCTAGAACTGATTTAGAAGTGACATCAATCTCCATGCTAGCAAAACCAGTATTAGCATACCAATTAATGACCTCCTGTAGAGCATAGTAAGATTAATGAGTATCAATTTGCACAGGTAGCTGCAATGTTCCCACTGAAATCATATCTCCGAGTGAGTTTTGAAAAAATGAAACCTGTTGTCTTATGTTTTCTTTGAATAGCCAGATTTAGCTTGAACATAGCACTACCCCGTTTCTGCCCGATAACAATCGGAGATTTTGGCAGCTGGATTTTTTCCCAGAAGAATGCAATAATGCATAGTTCTCTAACATAAGTTGATCCATCTGCTACTTTTGAGTTTGACTTGCTCATACACCAAGCAAACATATATCGTGTAACTTTATTAATAATGTGACCTGAAATGTTTAAATCCCTAGTGCTCTCCCTCCTCAAACAAATTCATAATATGCTTTCCATAAATAACATAGAATAATAGCTAGGGTTAGCATTTTATACAAATCATCCAACACACATGTATTTCCTTATAGCCACCACATTAAGCATGCCTCCCTAACTGTTGCAGCCAACTTAAATCCATCCAAGAGCAGTAGACTTAAGTTCTGACATACACATCTAGCATTTGCACAAAGGTAAAACATATGGTGTCATAGTTGCATTGTTAGTGTAACAGAAAGGGCAAACTGAAGGGAAGGAACTGTATATACTAGCCAAAACTTCAGGTATGGGCAAACATCCAAAGCAAATCTTCCATAAGAATAGACAAGTCCATAGTGGTCGTGTAGAGGCTCAAATAGAGGATATAGAAAGTGTAAGACCTTCAGAGCATAAAGAGACTTATATTATATGTACAAAGAAGTAACAATAATTAGCAACACGACGCAACAAAAAGCAACATGTTGCAACATTATGCAACAAAAATAATGCAACAAAAAGCAACACAAACTTATATTTAATACCATGTATCATGTTTCTCCAATAACTAATTTTGTAACTTTTTTCTCCAATAATCAAGCTGAATTTTATACAAAAGTTGAGTAGAGAGTAGTAGTCAACAATGAACAACATGATGCAACAAAAAGAAACAAAAGGCAACACGATGCAACAAAAGACATGTACGATACAACAAAAAGGAACAAAAAGCAACATCTAAAACACAAGGTATTTAACAATATATCTAGAGGAGCATTAATGGTTTCAGAAATATTTTCATTTCAACGCATGACTTGATAGTAGAAAGTATTTTACATAACAGAGTTCAAACTGCTAGAAGCTATTATTGCACACAATTGAATATCAATGGTGTAAATGAAAACTAAAAGCATATAAGTCATTAAAACATCATAAAATCAGACATTGAAAGCACGTGCAATATCATACAGTGTTGATTGTTCATAAATAAAGATTTGCGGAGACATGTATGCATATTTCAAAAAATAATAATAACAAATCAGGATATAAATTAAAGCAAATTAAATGAAGGAGAGAACATGAGTGGAAAGGAAATAACATAAGTCAAAAGAAGAATCTGAATCACAACTCAAGCTGATATAGAAAATAATCCATGACTTCTAAATTTAAAATTATAACAGAAAGCGAATTATAATAATTGAGATGAACAAATTTACTGTTTTCGAATCAAGCACTTTCAGGACATAGATTATAATACGATACAACTTAGCAAATTTAGACGTTTGAATTACAAGTTTACAAATCAACATATTAATGTGAGATCACCTTTAAAAAATTAGGTTAGAAACCTGAGAGGTCAGAATTTAAGCCAGAGGTAGATGGGGGTCAAATTAAGGAGAAATGGATAAATTACCTTTTGCTAGAATTCGTTCGTCAGCGACCATACTAGGAGCGGTGTGGCGAGCATGGCTATGATATTTAGGATAAAAGAGGCGACCGGCTGGTTGGCGTCGCAGGTTGGGATGATTAGGGACCGTGGCGAGTTAACGTCGATTCTTCACAAAGCCGATACCGGAATCGATCGAAGGATTTCATAGAGGCTAGCTAGAGCCGGAGGATTGAAGAAAAGAGAGAATGGAGGTCGAGTGTTTGAGAATAGAGGAGGGAGAGGGTGGAAGAGAAGAGCATTTTTTCGCTGGGTCTGGAGTGCGATTGATACGGAGGGATCCTAAAAGTAGTCTAAAAGTGAAATAAAAAACAGAAATTGAAAATATAAAAGTTAAAAATGAAAAGAAAAGGTAATTGGGTGATAAACGATATTCTAACGCCAATAGTCGACTGTGCGGGTAATTTGCACTTTTTCTTACCACATTTCTAACCTTTTGTGAATTTATAGTACAATCAGAATGTCCATCTGTTCGGGTATTTTTTCAGAATTGTTTGTTCTATTTATAGGGTAGGTTCGATTCGGGTATATCAAGTTTCGAAATAGGAATCGAACCTTACTCGTCCTGTTAAAATGGATCATTTCGGTCCGACTCCTCAGTTCTTTTTTTGTAAAGAAAAAATATGCCATGCAAGCAAAATTTCTAGTAAATTATAAAATTCTCAATTAATTACGTATTAATGTAACCATAATATAATAAAAATCCAAAATAAAAGTACAGGACAACATTTTAATTTAGTTAACAAAATACTGAACCATAAATCTATAAATTAAACAACACACAACCACCTTAATTAAAATGTTAATCATCATTCATAAACCAATTAAAAAGATATCACCATAAATTCATAAGAAATTAAACCAGTTACTATACATATTTGTCTATGAAAACAATTTAAAACTTATTAAATCTCCAAGTATAAGTAAAATTAAGATAATTAAATGTATATGTCATACTTCATTGAGTAAGAGTCTTTGTTTACAAAAAATATTAAAGAAAGAAAGTTTGATGCATTTGGAATAGAGAATAGAAGAAAATATTTTAGGAGTTTAATTATACGGACTTGGAAACTATTTTTAATAGACCGAGAAGTTTCTTTAATTGGAAGTCTTTGTCTAGACACAAGAACATGAAGAGCTTTCGTGTGTTGATAGTATTTTATATTATACTAGTATTAAATATTATAGAGATAAGAGATTATTAAAATAATATTTTAAAACGGTTCGGTTCGGGTACCCGTTTTTTCAAATTTTAAAACCCGTTAGGTTCCTAAGTTTTTCAGGACCGCCCCACCCCGAATCGTTTGCGTTTTCTAAAATTAGGATCCGACCCTAATCCGCCCCGAATATGTATTACTCGGACGGGCCCGCAGTTCCACTACTCGTTTGTCCACCCCTAATAACTACGATACGTGATTTCCGGTTTAAAGAGGTAAGAGCAATATTGACATTTTATTTTAAAAGTCATTTATATCACACACACAAAAGTCGTTTAGAGGTAGATGGCGTTGAAATTTTATTTTATATCAACTTTGTAAGTTGTATTAAATTAGTATGCTCCGTAATCCGTATTCATTAGATATTGGCACAACAATTCTGGTCAAGTCCAAATTTTCAAGGCTATTTGAAGTTTGAACGATAGACATGAGATTGCTCCATATAACAAAGCTGTGTGAACACGGGTAAAACACCACGGGCAAGTATCTTTATCTGAATGA